AAGGTGCCACTCCATCTTCTTTATTTCATATTTTCTCGCGAATATCTCGCCGGGACGAATAAAACCGAGAAAGATTTGCGAAATAATATGAGAATAAAAATCGATTCGTTCCTGTGATCGAAATTTTACATCTTACGTATATACATAAGTATGTATATATGTATATATGTATGTATGTATGTATGTAAGTTACCTAAGATTAAGTTACATCGTAGAGATAAATAATTAGATTAAGTCGAGTTACCGTTTATACGATGATCGAATTTAATGTAAATTTTATGCAAAACAAGGAGAGAAACTGGAAACGTTTTGTTCATACATGTATATATATGTGTGTGTGTGTGTGTGTGTGTGTTTGTGGGTTTGTGCATTTGTCTATATCTGTATAGAGTTTCTTGTCCCTTTCTTTTCTTCGCTTTGCTCTTTTTTTTTCTCTTGTTTTCTTTTTTCTTTTTTTTTTTTTTCTTTTATATCTCTTCGTACAGACTCCAACAGCCGTCTACTTTTCTACACGTCAAGAATTTTAAATCGAATCGATCTAGACCAGATAGACATTTGGTATTAGAAAAGTGATTTATTAATCGATTCACGGTTACCGTGTATTAGATCGTGAATGAAAAAATAAAAAAAAAAAAAAGAAAAGAAAAGACAACAAAAAAAAGAAGAAAAGGAAAAGAGACGAAAAAGAAAAAAAGAAAAAGATATATGAGAATGAAGAAAAGGTGAAAGGAAAAAAATAAAAGGAAAATGTAAAAAAAATGCATAACGAATGATATAATGAATATTTCTCTCTCTCTCTCTCTCTTTTTCTCTTTTCAAAGAAGAAGAAGAAAGAAAGAAAGAAAGAAAGAAAGAAAGAAAGATAGGAACAAAGAAATAATAAAAAGAGAGAAAAAAAAAGAAATAAATAAAAAAGTACGAAAAGTAGCAGCAGATTTGAATATAACGATGAAAAATCATCGAGAAAGATCAAAAGTGATTTACAATGGATGATGGGGGAGGAGTAGAAGGTGGGTTCAACCGGACCTGGTTCGTATCACAGGGAAATGGTTTTAGTATTAGATAATACCTACACACACACATATACTAAAAGAAGACTAAAGATACAGATTGGCACGAAGTGCAGTGACCTATTATAATTAATTATTACTCAACTCCAAGCATTTTCTTGCAATGTAACTCGTGCAACGCGTCGGCAAGAACATGAACGCACCAAGAGTACGAGTTCTTATCTCGTTGCTTCTCATTAGAGTTACATAAGATTTTTCTCACATCAAATAAGATCTGTCTACACGTGTATTTAACCATCGATCGATTCGTAACTAGCAAGAAAAAGATAGAGAAAGAAAGAAAGAAAGAGGGAGAGAGAGAGAGACAGATATCAATAGGGTAAATAAAATTTAAGGACGGCCATCGATACGATTTCGATTGGATATTTTTCAAATACTGACACGCATATCAATGCGACAAACGTTGTAACGTGAATAAAAAAAAAATATATATATATATACATAATACGTGTGTGTATATATATGGTGTTTCGAAGCGTTTATAATAATCTTAACATTTTCGTTGAGAGCCAACGACACAACACGGCTACTACGAAAGGAAAGATTGATTTATCTATTAGAACAGAACGTTAAATCGGTTAGGGTCGCGTTCGTGTTACATAGAGAAACGAAACAACGAATAGATATATATATATACATAGATATGTTTCGTGTTGAGAGCGAACGATCGACATCGTATTAACACAATGACACAATGCCTTACCTCTCTTTGATCGTATAATACTTTGTTAATAGAAAAGAAGAAAAAGAATACGAAAAAAAAATAAAAAATATATATAAAATAAAATAGAAAGAGAATAAGAGAAAGAGAATAAGAGAAAGAGAAAGAGAAAGAGAAAGAGAAAGAGAAAGAGAAAGAGAGAGAAAGAGAGATAGATAAATAGATAGATAGATAGATAGATAGAGAGAGAGAGAGAGAGAGAGAGAGAGAGAGAGAGAAAGGCATCAACTTTGAAAGATCTAAGCCTATATAAACGAGTATTATTAATCATCGGACCGACATAATTATTATCAGCTATTATTAGCTTCTCACAAATACATTAGTATCTATAACGCAGGTTCTATCTCGAGTAGAGTATATATTTATCTGGATAAAAGAAAGAAAGAAAGGAAAAAAAAAAAAGAAAAAAGAAAAAAGAAGAAAAAAAGAAAGGAAAGAAAAAAAGAAGGAGGGAAGAAAGAAATGTGTATGTACATTACGCCTACGTTTCGCACGAGCCCAGGACCCACCCATGCACGCGCTTGCGTTCGCTCACAAACACGAATACACACATATATATATATATATATATATATATGTATATATATACGTATATATATATATATAGGGACACCCTACGTTACTCATATATGTTTCTATACGTATGGCTTCTCTCTCTTTCTCTCTATCACCCTCTCTCTCACCCTTTCTTTCTCTTTCTCTTTCTCTTTCTCTCGATTGGAGCAACATACGAACGTACATCAAGATCACGTTAAGGCAACCTTCTTAAATCAAATGTTCTGCTTACCCAAGTTAGACATTCCACGAGAGTGAGATAATAAGCTGCACGATATAAGGTATTTTACAAACGTCTTTATTTCATATACGCGAAGTGATCGTTCTGAAAGCGTTTCGCGATTACTGAACTCGTATATATATATATAAATACAGACACACACATATATATATGCATATACATATATATGTTTATATAATATTGACGGATATATATATACATAAACAGAAACTCTCGAATATATTATAAACAAGTCGTCAGTCTCACTTTACGGGCACAACGCCTTCGGAATGTCTTGAAAATTTGCATTAATCGCAACTTACGATAGCTATTTGCTCAACGAGCACTTCCTGGCCCGTACTAATTGGAATAATATGATGTTTTGTAATATTTATTCCCAAATGAAAGTTATTAATTATAACGTTTTAGATCTCCTTCGATTGTCGATATAAATGTTCTGTATATATATATATATATATATATATATATATATATATATATATATATATATATATATATATATATTCTTTATATTTGTAATTATGTATATAGAAAGATAGAGACATGCACATATATCGAATAAAATAATCTCTACCTCTTCGTTCTATCCTTTTACAAGAAAACAAATATTATATTAGAATTTGCAACTTCCGAGATCTAAACTATATAATGTAACATCATTGCACCGTATAACATATAGCACATATAAGGGTTTTTAATGTATACGTATCCATTGAATTTGCTTACATCTTGCTTAAAAGCTAACGAGATGAAAAAGAAAGATAAAAGAAAAGAAGAAAACAGAGAGAGAACGATGAAAATGAAAAAGAAAAAAGAAAAAGAACAGAAACTGGCAAAAATTCACAAATGTAAAAATAAAAAAAAAAAAAAAGGTCTGCCAATGAAAACGGGATGAAACTCTTACCGGGTCTCTCTTGTCCCGGTCCCGATTCCCGTCCTCGATCCTCCCGATTGGAGGAAAAAGGGAGAAGAGAGGTCCTATACGTGCGGGAGAGTATAGTAGAATGCGCTGGACCAATAGGAGAGACACCGAAGGAGAGTGGCCCGTGACAAAAACGTCGAAACTGCAGTTGGTACCCGAAGAGAGTCACGGATCCCAGCAGTGAACGATAAAGGAAGAAAGAGGAGGAAAAAGAAAAACAGAAAGAGAAAGAGAAAGAGAAAGAGACAAGAGGAAGGATGAAGACGAAGGGTGAATCGAGACGTGGTTGGTAAGATGGGAAAGATACGAACTATAGAGAGAAAGAGGGAAAGAGGGAGAAAGAAAGAGAGAGAGAGAGAGAGAGAGAGAAAGAGAGGAAGAGAAAGAGATACAGGAGAAAGAATCTTCAGAAATGAAGCAGCAATGGCATCGAAGTAGAAGAAGACGGGCACCAGCTCTACACCAGACTTCTCTTCCTACGTTAAGACTATCCCGGTTGTTTGTATGCGTTCGTCCGAGATCAAGTTTTTCTCGAGTTCTGTACCTCCGGAGAGCGAGGCAGGGGCCCCAACTCGAATCCAAGTTGATTTCCTGGCACGCGGTTCATCTTGTCGTTTATTCTCTCCCACCCTGTGCCGACTCCCTTTCTCTCTCTCTCTTTCTCTCTCTCTCTCTCTCTCTCTCTGTTTCTCTCTCTCTCTCTGTTTCTCTTTCGCTGACTGGCTCCTTCCACTTCTCATCGGACTCTCGCGTGAACCATCTCTCTTTCTCTCTCTTATCTCTTCGCTTCTCCTCGCTCCACATCACCTTCCATCTTTTTCTCTTTCTTTCTTTCCTTCTTTCTTTCTTTCTTTATCTGTCTCTCTCTCTCTCTCTCTCTCTGTCTCTCTCTCCCTCTCTCTCCTTTACGTTCCTTCATCGCCCGAGAAATCCTCCCTCCCACCCCCATGAATCCCTCTCTCGCACATTGTCCTTCGTGGTCTCTCGCCTCGTGAATTCTTCTCCCCTTGCTCTTTATCGCTGGCTCTCTAATTATGTTAGGCCCAATTGTTACGTAACATACTTCCCGATTGAATTTATATTTATCGTATTTTAGAGACGACCGTAATCGAATGCATATATATATATATATATATATATATATATATATATATATATATATCGAGCCTTTTCTCAAAGAAATTCTTATTCAATTCCGTATTTATTTATCTTAATTCTAGATATAAATGTATCGTCTAAAAGCAATACATATATATATATATGTAAATATATATAATACATATTACATATGCATAGATGCATTTAAATTTATGTATATTTATATATACTTCGCTAAAATTTGTATCTATTCGTTTATATAACGTTCATTTACTTCGGTATCCATGACGCTCAAAGACTTAACAAAGAAAGTCCCCTTAGGGAAATAAGTTTTGGTATGCATCGTATCGTTAATATTCGACGGGCGATCGATCAAAAAGAAAAGGGACTTACTTTGGTGGACGTAGTGATGGGCCTGGTGCCGCCAATTCCTATAGCGTATAGCTCCACCTCGTACCACTGGATTCCTGTTTCCCTGTCGAGAGCAGCAGCGGTCGACAGTATACCTGTCTTCGTGTCGACGTCGAACAATCTGTCGACCTGAGGACCGCCGCTACTAGCGGTCACGTTCGTCACGTAATACTCAAGATCGATGTTCGATCTTCGGGTACGCGCACTCACTCTGAGAATACTCGCCCCTACCGGTTCGTTTTCGTAGACACTACCCTCGAGCTGACCCCGATGTTCCCAAATCGGTTGATCCTCGCCTTCCTCCCCAGGCATTATCAAGGTCAGATATGTCTCCGAGGATCTTCTTTCGGCTTGGACGGCCTCGTCGGTTGCACGAACACCCACTTGATACTTCGATACACGTTCGGGAAGAGCGTTTCTAGTTGATCTTGGAAGTCTCATAGTGAGGTAACCGGTGGTACGATGTATGCGGAACATGTCCGAGTAGTTGACGCTCGAACGAAGTAATTCGTATGTGACCAGTCCGTTCGTACTCGAGTCTAAGTCTTTGGCAACCAACTGCGTTACCACGACCTCTTTTTGAGGCTGATAACTCGGATTACCTTTCAACGGTAAAATAACCGCGGACATACTCACGAATATCGGTGCATTATCGTTTATATCCTCGACGATTACAATCACCAACTTCTCCGCTGACAATCTAGCACTAGGTGGTTGTGCCTTGTCCGTAGCAACCACCACCAACTTAAACGTATCGACTTCCTCTCGATCGATCGGCAATAACGTATGTATCACGCCGGTCGATGGATTTATACCGAAACGACGTACCTGATCCTCAGGATCCTGACTGACGATCGAATAACTGACCATACCGTTTTCACCGGAATCTGGATCCTCAGCGGTTATCGTCACTATTGGCATATGTACAGGTATTCCTTCACGAATCTGTCGTACGATCGCTGTATTCGGAAATACCGGAGGATTGTCGTTCGTGTCAATGACCTCGACCACCAGAGTCATTACCGAGCTAAGCCTAGGGTGTCCACCGTCGCTGCAAGTTATATTCAGAACGTACTTTTCTAGTTCCTCGTAATCCAATGGTTTCCTCAGGTACAAAGTACCGGTGAGCGGATCGATGTAGAAAGTATCCCTTCTGTTGCCAGCGGATATAGCGAAGGTCAGTTCGCTGTTAGGTCCAAGATCGTTATCGGTTGCTTTGAATCTTAGTAATTCCGTATTAGTCGACGTTGTTTCGAGAATTGAAATTTTCGATTTGTTATCAATGAAAAGTGGAACATTGTCATTTTCATCGAGTACGTCAATGTGTACGGTAGCGCTCGATGATAGACGAGTTTCTAATCCGGCATCGTGTGCTACTACAGTCAATAAATAATTATTCGAAGCTTCACGATCAAGCTGTTGAACCAGAGATATCTGTCCCGTTGCCTCGTCGATCATGAAATGTCCATTTTGATTGCCTGCCTCTAAAGTGTAGAAGACATCCCCATTGAGACCTTCGTCAGCATCCGTAGTATAAACTCTGAGTAATTGAGTACCTATAGCTGCACCTTCGCTAACTTGTACTTTGTAAGGTAATCTCTGAAATTGTGGCGTATTGTCGTTTACGTCGGTAATGTAAATGGTGACTTTGACTCGATCTCTCAAACGATTCTCGCCGTTATCCGTAACGGTTGCTTCTAATGTCACATAGCTAGCACCGGTATTACTAACTAAAAGCTCTCTGTCGAAAGCACGTAACGACTTAATAAATCCATTGCGAGGATCCACGACAAAATCTTGTTGGCTTATAGGCAAAGAAAACATTAAATCAGCGTTACGACCAACGTCTCGATCCGTGGCTAATAATTTTCCAACGAACGTATCCGGTAACTCGTTTTCTCTCAAGTGAAAAGTAAAACTGGAATTAGTGAATTCCGGGGCGTTGTCGTTCTCGTCGAGAATATGTACGACGACTGGAACGACAGAACTTCTCGATGGGCTACCTTGATCACTGGCAGTCACTTCCAAAGCATAATAATCTTGTTCTTCGCGATCCAATATGTTCTTTACGTAAAGCTGTCCATCTGGGAAAATTCCAAACCGTCCTTCGGCATTTCCATCGGTAACGCTGTATAAAACTCTTCCATTAGCGCCAAGATCAACGTCCGTGGCAGTTAGTGAAAAGAAACGATCATTTACGGGCGTTGATTCGGACAACGACGTCTCGTAACTCGTCAATTTGAAAACAGGCGTATGATCGTTAACGTCCTCGATGATAACTCTTACTTGATGTTGAGCAGAAAGTGGCTGAACGTCGGAATCCGTTGCTGTCACTTCCAAATTTAAAACCGTACCGGGTGGTGCTCTTATAGGTTTTCCTAGATATATGATACCTGAATTTTCGGCTACCCTAAATTGTTCTCCAGGATTGTGAGTCAATGAATAAACTATTCTAGCGTTAGCACCTGCGTCACGATCTTTGGCACGTGCCAAATAAACTTCTTGGCCTACGGCAGCATTTTCTTTCAAATAAACTTCGTCGCCACCTTCGCCTTTAGGAAATTTCGGTGGATTGTCGTTTACATCGACTACCGTTATGTTTACAAGAGTTTGCCCATAAGCAAGTCCAGCTCTAGCCGCTAACTGTAAACTGTAAAATGCAACATTTTCCCTATCCAAACAACCAGCTGTACTAATCATACCAGTGACCTCGTCTATCTTGAAGTTTCTTTTTGGATCGCCATACAGAATGTTGTAAGTTACTTTAGTATTGCCATACTGAGTAACTTGTACGGTTCCAACCTCCTTACCAAAGCCAGATGGCATGGAATTACATTCACCCCTATCCTCCATCACGCGGAAGTTGTAACCGTTGTAAGTGTCGAACTCTAGATGCTCCAAATCTTCCTCGCGTATAATCTCGACCATGGCGTTTCTAGTAGCAATTTTATTTCCGGTATCTTTGGCAGAGATGGTTAATTCGTAAAGTGTTTTGTGAGCAGCTCTTAAAGAACCTTCCAAAGTGATTTCACCGGTTCTTTCGTCGACGATAAAAATTCCTTCGCCACCAGATTCCAAAGAATATCTAATTTGAGCGTTTTCTCTAGCATCAGCATCCGTCGCTATGATCTTACCAACTGAAGTACCTACTGGTGCGCTCTCCGGTACAGGCATCAAATATCTCCATGGATAGAACACGGGTGGATTATCATTGACATCTTCCAAGGAAAGTAATACGGTAGCTGTCGATGATTGAGGAGGTGTTCCTTGATCTTTAGCAATCACCAAGATACTGTACTCCGCTATAGATTCTCGATCCATGCTGATTTTTGTTGTTAGCTGTCCCGTTAAAGCATCCAAAGCAAAAGTCTTTGGATAATCTCTTAAAACGCTGGAATGAAAACTGTAAGCGATACTTCCATTGGTTCCTTGATCGTTGTCCACCGCGGTTAACGTTGCCACGAGGCTCTGCGGAGGAGTATTCTCAGACAAAGTGACATAAACGATATTTTGAGAAAATCTCGGGGCTTCGTCGTTCTCATCCAGGATAGTAACTTTGAGATGGGTAGACGCATACTTTGGATTTGGTCCGCCATCTCTGGCAGACACGTGCAATTCGATACTTCCTTGAATTTCTCTATCCAAAGTCGCTATTGTGGTGACCAAACCAGTATCCTGATCGATGGCAAACCATCCTTGCTCGTTACCAGAATCAAAGTCATAATAAATTCTTGCATTTAATCCAGAGTCAGCATCCGTAGCCGAAATGCTAGCAACGAAGCTTCCGACTGGCGAGAGCTCGGATAAAACTGCAGAATATTCGCTCTGCTGGAATACCGGTTCATGATCGTTGACATCGTTTACATGGATCACGAGATATGCCGTCGCCGATCTTTGTGGCGTGCCTTTGTCGGTAGCTACGACTGTTAGATTATACTTGGGAATTTCTTCGCGATCCAATTTACCATTCACTCGAACGATATCGAAACTTTGCGTGTTATCCAGCCTGAAATGGCCTAGTTCATTTCCAGCACGTATCTCCACGGTGGTCTCACCGTTCAGACCTTCATCGTTGTCAATGACAGCAATGGCAGCAACTAGAGATTCCTTAGCAGCATTTTCATCGACCGTTGCATAACCAGCAGTTAATGTAAGATAACTAAATTTTATTTCAGGATCATGATCGTTCGCATCCAATAGATTCACCGTTACATAGGTGCGTCCATCTTGCCTGGGTGATCCATGATCTCGAGCAAAGACCGTTATGACGCAGCTCTTTGGACAGCCTCCACCTGGACGTGCTGTCGCACAGCTTTGTTCGGGACAATCTAGAGGTTCCGCGGTTGTAATAGTACCTGTCTCTGGATTTATCGTAAACTGTCTCTCGGTATCAGGTAAATAATATGTCAATTTCGAATTGTCTTCGGAATCTTTATCAGTGGCATGAATCGTAAGAACTTTTGTACCAACCGGTGCACTTTCGTTCAGAGCAACGACGTAATCGCTTTGTTGAAAAATCGGAGGATTGTCATTTACGTCTAATACAGTTACGTTTACCAAAAGATAACCTAATCTAGGCGGATGTCCTCTATCTCTGGCACAAATATTTAAAGAATAATATTCGACTTGTTCCCTATCCAATTTTCCTGTAGTTTCTAAATGTAAATAGGATGTCTCACCGGTTGGATTGCCCGTTACTTCCAAACGAAATTTTTCATCCTTATTACCATCGACGATGAAATAATCATCGGTTACTCCATTCTCAGGAGTATCTTTATCGGTGGCAGCGTCTAATAACAATTTCGTGCCTACGACAGCCGATTCGGAAAAACTCACAGCTATGCTAGATTCGGGAAATTCGGGATCGTTGTCATTGATATCCAATACAAGGATCCTCACTTCTATCGGATAAGTCGGTTGACTTGAGAGTACGACTAGGTCGAACCTATCGCTACTAAGAGCTTCCCTATCCAATACCTTGGCTGTTCTTATTTTGCCAGTTTTAGGATCGAGCACAAATTCTTGGGGTGGTTCGTTAAATCTATAAGTAAAGCCAGGTTTCACTGGTATCTGACCGACCAAAGTACCTTTCGGTTCACCCTCCTTAACTTCGAGCGTAACTCTAGTATCTACCGCTCTACTTTGCATCGTCAATCCCATGGTAGCACTATCTTGTGGCAACATCGGTGACCTTCGCGGAATTAACCGTGTAACTCTTTGAGGTAGGTTCTGCAAAAAATACTTGCTCGACGAGCGCATCTCGTTGTTGCTAGCCTGGCCGCCATTTTGGTCCACCAACAACAGTCCCAGGACCAAGGCTAGGACCATCGATCTTCTTATGATCATCTCTTCGGTACCTCAACGCGCCCTTCTTCCTTAGCCAAATTCTTCTCGACTCGTCGGCATAAATCATTTACGATCCACGAATACTACCTGTCGTTCCTTTTCCTCATTGTCTCTTTCAGTTTCATCCTCGATAGTTCAATCACTTTCTTCCGTCATTGTCAACCACTTACAAGCATTAATCAGCACGCGCTGATCTCCAATGGATTGCAACGGTCAACGGCCCGCATTTTTTTATATTCCCGTTCGGCACTTCGTCTTCATTCGAAATTGGATTAAGGATGAACTTTGGAAGGGGTGGGTGTATTCGGTTCTTCTTCCTCCTCTTCCTTTCTCGCCGGACCGGACCTTTCTTTTTATCCGCCGGTCGAAAGTTAAGCGAGTACAAGAAGAGACTTCGGCCGATAGTGGGGGCACTGACCCACGGAGCCGCACCTCGCGAAACGCGTCTGCAGATGCGCGTTAGAAGAGACCAATCAGATCTCTTTTTACCGTGATTTTTTTCTCAAAAATTACGATTACGAATTGACATTCCCTATCAAGTATCACAACGATTTGAATATAAACTACATATATATGTATATATATATATATATATATATATATATATAAAACTTGTATTAGATGAAAGTCATATAATCAATCTTCGATTCGTGTCTCTTACCATGGTTAACCTTGACTTCATTTGCGTAAGCCACACAAAAAAGAAAGAAGAAATACGTCTTTAAAAAATAGACAGCAAATATTGTTCAAGGAAATACGAAGTAATAGATCGATCGTCGAAAATTCCTTATCACTTGGATATCATGGCAGCTTCTCATCGAACGTAAATGGACCGGCACATCACAAAGAACACGCAAGCGTAACTTATTTCAATGATATGCGGCACACTCTTACCGAATACCAAATCGAATATTATGCAACTTCTCACCACTTCTGCTTGTTCCTTGCAAAAGTTAATGATCCCATTCCTTCCCCCCCAACAACAAAAAAAAACAAAAAAGAAAAAACCAATGATCATTCGAAATCACTCACGAAACGATGTATAATAATCGATAACACGATAATCCTCGATCGAGTATGGATGATGATATGTAAGTCCAACGGGGGCAGAAGGGGGGGAGGGGCTAAATGATATCACTCGCGTTTTCTGATGAGCATGTAAAAACGTAAGAGGGTGGGGAAGTGGGAGAAAAAAAGAAAGACAAAGTTTCGACAGAGGTAGAAATAAAATTTTAAAAAAGAAATAGAAAAAAGAAAGAAAGTATACACAAAGTGAGGAAAAAGAAAGAGAGAGAGAGAGAGAGAGAGAGAAAAAGAGAGAGAGAGAGAGAGAGAGAGAGAGAGAAAGAGAAATAAGTAAACGTGTGCCCAAAGAAAACGAGACGTATGTAGGAACGTACACAAGGGCTCCAACGTGCGACGAAGAATATCACCTTCCCGAGGACTGACCTGACTCGACTGAACTAAGCCGGTCCCAGATCCTTGGCGCTGCCAAGAGAAGCATTCTTCGCGGGGCCTGACGCCGTCCCTCTCCGATCCATCGTGTTCAACGCGAGTCTCCTTCTCTCTCTCTCTCTCTCTTTCTCTTTCTTTCTATCTATCTATTTCTCTCTCTCTCTCTCTCTCTCTCTCTCTCTCTCTCTCTCTCTTTCTTTCTACCTATCTATTTCTCTCTCTCTCTCTCTCTCCTTTTCTCTCTTTTTTCTCTTTCTTCTCGCTTCTTTCTCCCCGCCACCTTCTTCACCTTCCTATCACTATCACCTTCTCTCTCTCTCTTTCTACCCCACCCCAAGTAAGGCCCCTCTCCCCTACTACTACCACCAGCAACAGCAGCAACAGCAACAGCAACAGCAGCAGCAGCAGCACCACCACCACTTCTTCTTTCTCCCTCTCCGTTATACACTACTTCCCCTCTCTCCTCTATCTCTTCCTTCTCCTCCTACCTCATCTTATCCTCATCCTCCACTATAGTTTCGCCTCGCACATCCCGAGCCGCCGCCACCGCCGCCGCCACCACCGCCGCCGCCGCCGCCATCCTCTCGCTGAGATATTCTCCCTTTTGCCCTCGAGGAACGAGCAATGCGGAGGCTCAGGTATGCAAGATGGCCGCCGAGTGTTCAACCTTGGTGCAAGAAGGATAGATTATATTGGTCGAGAAAGAATGAGAAAGAGAGAGAGAGAGAGAAAGAGAGAAAGAGCTGCAAGAATGTACGAGTGAGACAGAGATAGAGAATAGTACCAACAAGGAGAGGGAGGAGGATGGAGAACAAGAGATGAATAATGCGTCGGGAAGAAGGGGAAATAGAGGGAAAGGGCGAGAGGGATTCGCTGCTTAGGGAGGACGACGAAAGAGAGAGAAGAGTGAGGTAAGAAGAGCCAGTTGTGGGTCCAGACCCACGGCGCTGTAGATATACATCCGTGAAGCTATAGCCACTTTTATAACTAATCCGTTACCGCGATCGACCGTTTCCCCCACCCCCATAACTCTCTCTCTCTCTCTCTCTTTTTATCTTTCTCTTTCTTGAGTTCTTTCTCGTTTTCGCGAGTGCGGTCGCATCGGTTATCTGGTCTTTTCCTTTAATCTAGTTTACTGGGTACGAGAGTACTGTATAGCCCTACGTTTATATATATATATATATATATATATATATATATATATATATATATATGTCGATTGGCGCTTTGATAGGTCAATCGATTTATGTCCTAGTAAAATACTTTCTCTCTTTCTCTTTCTCTTTTTCTTTCTCTTTTCTAGGTTATACATACCGTATTAATATTATCGAGGATGGATAAGTATCAATTGTTGAAGTTAATCGTGTTAAATGCAGATGGGGACATTATCTGCTTCCAAGTTTAAATTTATTTCTAGGATTTATATTTACCCGCCTTTTTCTTCTTTTGAATTTAAAGATTTTCCTCGTTCTTGCGTTTTATTTATATTCTTTTTTTTTTTTCTATTCTCTTTTTACTTCCTTATCATCGTAAAAATTTGTCATATTTGTCAAATATTTTTTTCTTTTAATAATCGTAAATACAAATAATCAATTTCATTGTAAAAATTGATCAAATATTTTCGTATAATCGTAATTATAAATTTAAGAAGATACGTATAATTTCGTTGAAAAAGATTTCGTAAAATTTGTCAAATATTTTCGTATGATCGTAGATCAACGTATATTTAGAAAGATATATTGCATAATTTCATTGTAATAATAATAACAGAATAGAAGAAGTGTCATCGTCTGATGGAAATAAATTTCACGGAACAAAGATTCGCTTGTTATAAAAGAACCTTCTCAACGTATTGTATGTACCTTAAATGGGGATAGAATTTATATACGGATAGAAATAATTTTGCGAGGGTGTAAACACGAGGAGAGACACTGAACTGCTTGTGTGCATCACGCATGATTAATATTTCCTTTGGTATAACACCGTGGCAACGACGTGCTTACGCATACGCCATTTGTTATTCTGTTAGATTAGAAAGGTTATAACCTTTTGAAGGTCAATGGAATCTTGACATTTATTCTAAGCTATATTTACGACATTTGTAAAAAATATTTGACGAGAGAAATGATCAATTATCGGCATTTACCTTTTGTCTAAATAAAAGATAAAAAAATTTCAAATATTCATTGTTTGAATTGTACTAAGGGAGAAAATAACGAGACAATATAATCCTTATATCGATATAAATCGATAATCGTATATCGTATCGATCGTATATCCAACTTGATTTTATATACGAGATTGATAATCGATTTTACAAAATTGATCGGTAACATTGATCTAGCAAGGAACATTAACGATAGACATTTTTATTTAACATTAATGATAAACAGGGAAGGTCGTAAGAAAGATAAAAACAACTTTTGAGACAAAGAGAGAGAGAGAGATAAGTAAGAGAGGGAGGGAGAGAGAGAGAGAGAGAGAGAGATAGAACATAGCTAATACAATAAATTCGCGTGCAATCGTTCCTCACACGAAATGGTCTTTTGCGCCCACCTTGTCTAACGCGTTATTGTAGTTTCTTTCTCTCTCTCTCTCTCTCTTTTCCTCTCTGTACCATATACGGCGCAGCATCACACTAGCAAAAGAGTAAAATTCTATCGAGTCGTAGGGCACTGCGTAGGCGGTACAAGCTACAGCTTTATTGTTTCATCGAACAATAACTGTAACACATTCTCCCTATTTGTCTTTGACTCCTGCTAGTACATGAAAGACATATCGTTTTCCGGTCTCACACACAACCCCTCAAACCCTTACAATCGTATATCGTAAAACTTAGAAAACGAATGACATTGTGCAGACCGATTTACTCGAGCTTCTATAAATAAATTATTTTCTTTGAGAAATGTTTTTTTTTTTTTTTTTTTTTTTTTTTTTTTTTTTTTTTTTTTTTTTTTTTTTTTTTTTTATACAAATCCACATAACAAAAAAATTCATTTTATAGCAAATGTATGTACAAAAATTTATTTTGTTTACAATATTCCTCACGTGTATTAACTTTAATAATAAAGTAATATTTATTATACAAGAAGTAACAATTAACGTTATAAACGTATAATTGTTTAATTTTTATTAAATTAAATAAATGATAATATCAATATCATTTCTTAGGAGCACCATAAGCATCCGGCATTCTTTCAATGGTATATCTATGTTGTGAAACATACATTATAGGAACACCAGGTATCTTTCGTATTCTTCTTTTTAAATCTTTGTCATTGGTAGCGACAATATAACATTTGTGCTAAGATTATATTACAAGAGATATAATTTATTATAAGATAATATATGTTAATCCTTTCATATAAATTTAATACACTTACTTGTGTTACTCTATTTACAAGACAGTCATCCGCATAAGTACCCTTGTGCATACAATTTAATCTTTCAAATCTAGGATCCTTTATAATTCTTAAAGCTATTTTATATTTCTGACCAAGTTTTTCTAATTCTCCCATTACGCAATCCGTTATATATGGTATACACTTTGCGTACAAACACTCCATCATATTTTGTATAATATCTAATTTATTTTTTATAGAAAAATTAATGAAATTCGTATCTATTAAAATATGATAGGGAGGTCCTAATTGCGTATTATATTGAAAGAATAATGCGGAAGATTGCTGAGGTCTAAAAATACAATATATCCAATATAGATCTTATGAATAATAATATTAAAATTATATAGTAACATAAAATATACTCACGCTTCATTAACTTTTAATTTTATTGGGTCTTCTGATTTAGTTTTCTTTGGAGGTGCTCGTTTCTCTGGTTTTCTATCAATAACAAATACAACTTTATGATAATACTTTAAAATAATACTATAAGCAATAATGTTTTTCTTTCTTTTTTTTTTAAAAAAACATACTTACATTCTTGAATCACTGAGACTGATCATCTTCTTCATTTGTGCGAACCTCTGCATTACAACTTTACGAGTTTTTTTATTTTTTCCCTGTACAAACAACACGTAAAATTTATTCTTTTACATAGATATCTATTAATAATATTTATTATGACGAAACAAAATCATTTTTAAAATATTGTAAATTAAGAGATAACCTATAAAAATGAATCTACTAATACTTATATATTATACGATAGAATAAAAATTTTTTAATATTATGAAATAATATTGAAATATTTATTTATTATTACAAACCATTGTATTAATTTGTTATACAATCCTTCTGAAATATTAAAAACTCGTATAAATCAACACTGCACACAAAATACACATGTACGAATGACGATATCGTATCCTCTAACGGAGATTTATGGAACTAATACTTAAGGAATACAAAAGCGTTAACCTTATAATTACATTCGACCCTATGTTTGATCATCTTCGATACTTCTCGATTATCGAAAGATTGCAAAGATCGTTCTTTTTAATTTTCAAATGAAACATATATTATCAAATATTTTTTTTATTAATTTTATATATAAAATATTTTGTATAAAATGTTATACATATAATGAAAATAATTGAAAAATTTGTTAAATTTCTTGTCTAAAGTATCATTTAATTGGTCTAGTCCTAAATATTCACCAATCTATTTTCAGTTTCATTGGGATCATTGAGAAAATTCTTGGCGCCAGAATTTTTCTCCTAAAATGATACAAAACGTTACTCGTAACTGTAGGATTTTACTTCTTAAGGAATGTGGATGTCCTACTCTACAGCTTTGTTACTATTTCGTACACGCATGATAGACACGTTGGCTTTTATGTTCTAGTATAGACATATCATTTAAAAAAAAATAATATATATGCTTGTACAAGTGTAGTTTTAATGTGAACACTAAGTAAACTTAGTCATATATATATATAACGAAATAATATTCCTTACAAACCATATTTTACTTCTTTGAAAACAGACGTACGTGTTCCTTTTAAGTATTTATTTAAATTAAACTCAATAAGTAATATAAATTTCTTTATTTAAATATAAAATTTATAACCACTGAGAATATCAATTTTTATAATAAATTTGATTACTTTTTGTTAATAGTCTTCTTTATAATTTTTATCAAATGCGGTATAATACCACTTACTGTCCTATTTATTAACAAAATATTTTTATTGTTTTTAGAAGGAATATATATATATATATGTAAAAATGAGAATTGTTCAGTTAAGAAGACATCGTTTATTTAATATTGTAATTGGTGGAATATTGGTTTTAATTATTTTTTATATGATTGTTTCTTTCTTCTCTGATAATCAAGTACATAATATAAAAGTATATTGGTCAGAACAACTATCAAGAAAACAGGTATATTTAATATTTTTATATTTATATGATTATATGAATTATCAAAAAAATAATATTGGACTATTTGTAGGCTCCAGAACTGGTAGAAGATTTAGGTAATTTTGAACCAAGAAATATACAATCAAAAACAGGTCCTGGAGAAGCTGGCAAAGCACATGTTTTAAGGGATGATCAACAAAATGATGTTCAACAATCCGAATCTGATTATGGTATGAATATGATATGCTCAGATGAAATTTCCTTAGATAGATCAATTCCTGACACTAGACCATCCGAGTAAGTTTTATTTCCAATCGCATCATATATTTTCTTTTATTCAAATAATATGAATGAAAATTTGTATTTTCATAGATGCAAACATTGGAATTATCCAACGGATTTACCTAGAACAAGCGTTATTATAGTATTTCATAATGAAGGTTGGTCTGTATTAATGAGAACTGTACATAGTGTAATAAATAGAACACCATCGAAATTCTTAGAAGAAATCCTTCTTGTTGATGATTATTCTGACAAAGGTATATTTTAAAATGTTTTTTAGAAAATTTTAATTTCAAATATATATATGTATATTTAATATTTTCAAGAAAATATTTTTTAGAAAATTTAAAGGGTGACTTAGAATCTTATATTGAACAATGGGGAGGAAAAGTCAGATTACTAAGAAATTATGAAAGGCAAGGTTTGATAAGGACAAGATCAAGAGGTGCACGAGAAGCCAAAGGCGAAGTAATTGTCTTTTTGGATGCTCATTGTGAAGTGAATGTAAATTGGTTGCCACCGCTTTTAGCTCCAATTGCAATGAATAGGTATTGTATATAATTGACAAATTAAAAATTTTACATATATTTAAATGTTTAGAAACAAAATATTTTTTTTTTTTTTTTTTTTTTTTTTTTTTATTATCATAATATCGCAGCAATGTAATGACAGTTCCTGTGATCGATGGTATCGATCATAAAACCTTTGCATATCGACCTGTGTACCAAGCTGGACACTTATATAGAGGAATTTTTGAATGGGGTATGTTATACAAAGAAAATGAACTTCCTAGAAGAGAAGCTAAAACTCGACCACATGACAGCATGCCTTATAAGTATATTATTTATTATCATAATTATAAATTAATCATTATTTTTTTCATTATAATTATTAAACTATTATTATATTAATTTAGATCTCCTACTCATGCTGGTGGTCTATTTGCAATGAATCGTCAATACTTTTTATCATTGGGTGGATACGATGAAGGATTACTTGTTTGGGGTGGAGAAAATTTTGAATTGTCTTTTAAAATTTGGCAATGTGGCGGAAGTATTCTATGGGTGCCTTGCTCGCATGTTGGACACGTATATAGAGGTTTTATGCCGTATACATTTGGCAAACTCGCACAGAAGAAAAAAGGACCATTGATTACTATTGTAAATATATATATATATATACATATATAATTATTTTTAAAAAGTTTTATTTTTATCACATGTGATTAACTAGAATTGATATTTTACAGAACTATAAAAGGGTCATTGAAACTTGGTTTGATGAAAAACACAAAGAATTCTTTTATACGAGAGAACCACTCGCAAGATTACTTGATCATGGTGATATAACTGAACAATTACTTTTTAAAGAAAGAAAGAAGTGTAAAAGCTTCCAATGGTACATGGACAACGTAGCTTATGATGTTCTAGACAAATTTCCTGAATTACCACCGAATATACATTGGGGAGAGGTATTTTGAATGATCTTTCCATTAACATTCATTTTGAAATTGATTAATAATAATAGAAAATAATAAAATGTATAGTTGAGAAATGGAGCAACTGGAGCATGTTTGGATACTATGGGACATGCCCCTCCAAGTTTAATGGCCACTGCATATTGTCATAGTTATGGAAATAATCAAGTAAGCTCATGCACATATATATTGTTATTTTATATCTTGATAATCGATCATAATGTTTAACAATGAATTTTATTTTTAGCTTATTAGGTTGAATTCGAAAGGTCAACTTGGTGTCGGTGAACGTTGTATCGAAGCTGACGGACATGGAGTAAAATTAGCGTTTTGCCGTTTGGGTACTGTTGATGGACCCTGGCAATATGATGAAGTATGATAACATTTATATGTATCTAACATTTAAACGTTTTTTCTAATTTGTTAATTCTTGAATTATTTTAGAAAACTAAAACGATATTACATCGGGTTCATAAAAAATGTATGGCTCTTCATCCGCAAACTCAACAGTTATCATTAATGCCCTGTGATGTGAATAATACGTATCAACAATGGTCCTTCCATGAGATTAATCCACGTTGGTGAACGAATCAACGTTACAAATATATTTCAATAATATGAATTTTTGTTCATGGTATGTGATATTTAACTAAATAATAATATATAAATGATCCCGTAATATAAAAGAGATCCATTTTTAATATATTTTTATAATTTCAGAAAAATTTTACACGAATCTTACTTGGCCTGCTAGATAAATCGAAACGTTGCGATTACTTGCGAATTAATTGTCAAATTAATTAAACGATATATAATTCTATAAGGAAAAATTCTTTGTGAAATACTTTTTTATAATTCACAAAGTTGCACAGACTATAAAATGCTATGCTAAGAGACAACAGACAATAAGGTGCTGTAAAGTTCAGTCTTCTATTTTTAGTAGTTAAAATTTCTTCAAGTTTTTTACAAATGGACAAATAAGAAAATGAAACTTTATAAATCTGTACAATTCGATATTCTTATTTTACATTTTTGTCCATTTTAAAAAGACTAGATTACTTAAATGAGACTGCTCTTTATAAGTATAGATTCTCGGCAATTGTTCCTTCTTATGATGGCGATTTTATCTTCTTAATGAACATTCTATTACGAAAACAATCTTTATACGAATATAACTAATCATTTACGATACTATATTAAATATGTTTTTATTTAATTAATAATTATGAAAAAAATTATAGTAAAAGTAAAATGAAATGCTATTTTCGTATTGCCAAACAGTATAAATCTTCCTATATTTATCTATATTAAGATTAATTTTCTTCAAAATTTATATATTTCATTATGTAAGACAATACAGAGAAAAGAGAGAGAATGAGAAAGAATGCTTCCTCTCTCTTTTAATCATCTTTACATCATTAAATTATTTAAATTTTTCTATCGCTTTGTAGTGTCATTTATTGTAGTCAGTAAACAAATGAGATATTTGTTTATATAAAATGCAGAGATAACACGTGATGATAAATTAATTTTGAATTTAGATACATATGTAAACATAAAGCTCTAAATTGATGTACAATTTAATTGATAATTATTGTACCTTTTGTAAGTTGCAAGAATGTTGACAACATTTTCATTGATAAAAATGTTATCATCATTTGATCGGAATAATTTATTTTTTTATAACTATATGCACACTCGCGATCAATATAATTTTTGTACTTTGTGATATTAAATGTGCAATCGTATATACATGAAAAATTTTGTTACTGACGTGACTTTCACTAATATAATAATTTTTTGATATATCTATTACAGTATCTTATTCAACTTTAATCACAGGCATAATAAATCTTTCTGATTCGATAATTATAAATACACATTCCAATCATAGTATTTAAAACATTGTTAATGTCTCTATGTGACACTAAAGAAAAGTTATTAAGACAAAATACGAAGAACAGTTTTAACATCACTAATTGTACATTTAAAATATGAATTCCAACATTCCTCGTTAAAATCGATAACGTTTATGATATTGCAGTGAATCGCATAAAGTTATATTAAATATTACTTTTAATCTGAGTAAGAAAAAATTAAAATATCATTTGTGAGTAAATTTTTTCCATTATCTATATTCTTTATTTGTACTTAACACTATATATAAAGCTTATCGTTAGTTTTATAAATCAAGCTTAAATTATACTTGAAAGATCAATAATTGTTGTGATCACATATGATGCAAAACACATGCAGCTAACTTATTATTATTTTTTAATATCATTAATATTGTTACTCAGAATATACTTCTGTACGTTACATTGAAATAAGAAATTAATATTTATAAAAGCGAAAAATTTACGATTAAATCGTTGAATTATGGTCTGAATAAAAATAAAAAAAAATAAAAAAAAAAAAAAATAAAAAAATAGGAATAAGAAACAGTTGGATTTATGATAAGTGTCAAATAATATGCAAAGTTTATTATTTTACACATTTTATATGAACGCACTAAATTTGGTATATGTATTGATAATGCTGAATGAAAAAAAAAAAAAATGTAACACAAAATATGTTATATATGTTTTGAGAAATTGTACAAATATATGATTATAAAAAAAAAAAAAAAAAAAAAAAGAAAACATTATTCTTTTTATATTTAATATTGAAAAGGCCATGTTATATGCTCATTACAAATATATTAATACTTCTATTAATACAGAGAACAAATAGTACAGCTATAAAATTAATTGTCGAAACTGTTTTGTAGAAGTTTGTTTATTATATTTAATTTAATTTTATAAAAACATTGAATAGTACAAAGCGCTATTCAAACAGTAATGCAACAAAAGTTTTGGAATAATTTTAGCCCATTGGAACTTCATATAGATAAGACAATTGCAATGAAAGCGTACAAATCTGTAAAAAGTATATATAATTATATTTTGTATTTAGAAATATATATAAATATATATATGTATGTATATATATATATACATTATGTAAAAAAAAAAGAAAAAAAAATTACTTACCATGCTGTTTGAACATATTATTAATTATATTTTTATTTGAGCAATTTATTGATTTGTATTAACAATATCATCTATCTTTAATATACTGCGTACAGTTTCGGAAGCAAGAGTGATAGCACTGGTTGAAACTAATAGTGGCTGAAGTACATTTTCTTCAAGTATATTCGTAATAGCTCCTTTACGAACATTAATTCCAGTCGTCATTTCACCCTGAGCATGTCTATTTCGCAATTCAGTAACAGTCGCGATTGAATTCAAGCCTGCATTTTCCGCTAACGTAGACGGAATAATCTAAAATTAACATAATATTAAATATATAATACGTATAAAAATATAATTTATAAAATTCTTATATTAATCAAACAAATGTTAAAACTTACTTCAAGTGCATTTGCAAAAGCTCGAACGCAATAAGCATCCACTCCGCCTAAAGTTTGAGCGTATGCTCCTAATTTCAATGCAAGTTCAATTTCAGGTGCACCACCTCCAGCAATCATTGCTTTCTGTTTTACCAAACATCGAATAACGCATAATGCATCATGCAAAGAACGCTCGGCTTCTTCCAAAACCAATTTATTACTTCCACGTACCAGTACGGTTACCGTACGACCATAATTTTGTATACCAGTGATCTAAATAAATTACAGACGCGAGTATTGATGTTATTTTGATATTATTTTATGGATTTTAAAATTGTCATACCAACCTTTACAAATTTAGAACTTCCTGTTTGGACTTCTTCGCACAATTCTGCAGAAACGAGATTCTCAGCAACAAAATGATCTAAGGATGCAATTGGCCTACATCCCAAAGTTTTACATACAAAAGGAATGTCCTCTCGTTCTATATCTTTGATTACCATAACTTTGATTTTATCTAAGAAATGAATAGCCAGATCACTGACAGCATCGCGTAAAATAGACTTTTGAACCAGCAATATATTGCATCCAGTTTTTTTAATTTGTTTTATGATATTCAATATATAAGCACGTTCTTCCTTCAAAACTCTATCCATTGCGGCATAATCTGATACAATAACATTATGATCCATCTGGAAGATTTATATTAATTTATAGTTTCTTAAAAAAAAAGAAATCCTAAACATAATATATTTATCAATTTAAAAAAAAGAAAAAAACTTACATCTGTTTTAGGCGGAGAGATGCAAAATTGAATCAAACCAATTTTTGCCTTTTCGATACGTTTTGGCCCATTAACGTTACACGATTTTTGGGTAAATATCAATCCTTCTACTAACTCTGTATCTTCAACTGTACCTCCTAATTTTTTAATCACTTTGATATCCTACAAATTAAATACAAATTAAATATAAACATACAAAACATATGATCAAAGTGATAACTTATACTTTACATTCAAATCAACAGCCTGTTCTTTTCCTGGCTCTGTAACTTTTAATACTGCATTCACGGCTAATGGTGCCAATAAACTTGATTGTTGAAATACAACCTACAGAGATTTAAAAAAAAAAAAGCATAATAATTTTAAGATGCAAAATCAACAGATTTTATGTCAACGTTGTCTCTCATCAGTTACCTTTGAATTAAGCGACGTTGCTGCAGCTTTAACAAGTGATTCTTTATCTGTTAAATCAACTGGTATAGACATACTTGTAAGTATTTCAACTGCTTTAGCTGCAGCTTTTTGAAAAGCATCGCTTATAAGTGTAGGATGAATTCCTTTTTGTAATAAACGTTCTGCAGCTTCTAACAAAGAGCCAGCTACTACAACAACACTTGTAGTACCATCACCTGCTTCAATGTCTTGAGCTTTAGACAATTCAACCAGCTAAAGGCATTTAAACATTTCAATATATCTCGCATAAACTTTAAATATATATTCAAAAGAGAGAGAGATAGAGATTGAGAAAGAGAAAGAGAGAGAGAGAGAGAGAGAGAAAAAGCACAAACATTGATACCATTTTAGCTGCAGGATGTATAACATTCATTTCTTTCAAGATAGTAGCTCCATCGTTCGTAATTGTTACTTCACCATTGCCTGCTTGAATCTGCATATTACAAACAATACATTGTAAATGAATATCTATAAAATTTTTTCATCAAAATATATGTATTACCATTTTATCCATTCCACGTGGACCCAAACTAGTACGAATTGCATCACTTACAGCTGAAAATATAAAATTGTCAGTTTATTTTCAATAAAAATTTACAATGTTTGAAAAATATATAATAGAATATCATAACTGTTATATTATTATAATACAATATTAATTTAAGAATAATTTAAACATATAATAAGTCATCATTATTATAATATGATCTTATTGGGACTATTACTATATAAGGACTTTTTCGTCTTGATTGATCATTATAAGCCCACGCACGTGTAAAAAAAGCCGAGAATATACATTTACCTTTCGCAGCATTAATATTACTGCTTCGAATATCAGCAGGTTTACTTTTATCCTTATATGCTTGTCCATGATTACCTCTACCATCGCCTCCCGCTGAAATTGCAGTCATTCTTGATAAATTAGTTATGTTCTTTTGTATATTAGGTTTATCGCGAAGCTTATAAGCGAGCTTATAAGGTATCTTCTCGCGAAAATGTCGAGTAGCGTTTTCACGCGGCACTTTTGTTTTTCTTCTTCAATACTTTAAGGTTAAAATTGAAATTGAATTTAATTCAATGTTATAAAAATGTCCAAAATAAGTTTGATTCGTTAATTCACTGATTTATTATAAAAATCAAGAATGATCATGCGAAGTACGAAAGACTCGCCTAAGAAATTTCTTTATGGTTAATCCATAAGACCGGCATTTTACTCCCTTTAGATACGATTTTCATATTACGAAGAAATAAGTGAATTAAAAATGCTCGTCATTGATTGGACTACGAATCAACCAATCAGAGAACAGTTAGAGCAACATCACGTGACACCATCATACATATACAGCCAATAAAATTTCAGTAGCCATAATACTCATTCAGACGGCAACAGATAATCGTGATCGTATCGTAAAATAATTTGTATCGATTTGTAAATTGGTGTCTTTTGATCGAATTGTGATTTATTTCATTACATTAATTACTTGCAAAAGTTCATCGGATTAAAAATAAGTGGAAGTTCTTTTGTCTTTCATTTACGGGACTCTATAAATTTAAGAAGATACCTACTCAATGATAAAGATTTATCTACGGCATCTTAAGTAGCATAAACATAATCTCGTGCTTATTAATAGATAAAAATGAATTTCGATAAAGGGCATATACGGCACTGCATGCTTTTTTGTTATAATCAAAAAAAGACTGTTGAGGAAGCAAAACGAATCATCTCGGCAACTTATGGAGAAAACGTTGTATCCACCAATATTTGTAAGGCGTGGTTTAAAAGGTTTAAATGTGGCGAATTAGATGTTAATGAGAAACCGCGTTTAAAAATATCGAAAAATTTTAAGAAGAATGAATTCCGAAAAGTTTTTGATATAAATCCACCTGAAAAATTGGAAAAATTTGCAAATGGATTTAAAGGTGAGAATGAGTCAATCGTTTCTCCATGGTTAAAGCCAATAGGTTTTGTGGATTCAACAACGAATATTCAAAGATCGAAATCTAATCATCCTTCAATTTCTAAAATGGTTACTACTGCCATTGAAGAATTGAAAGATCGTAAAGGCTCGTCGCTTCAAGCCATTAAAAAATATATTATAGCAAACTATGAAGTTAATGATGAAAAATTAACACCTTTTATAAAGAAATATTTAAAGACTGCAGTTTCTACTGGTACAATTATACAAACTACAGGAAAGGGAGACTTAGGATATTTTAAACTTTCAATCATGAAAAGCAGAGATCCAAAGACGAAGATACATCCCGTCATCAAGAAAAAGAAGACTGTCAATAAATCTACTAAAAAAAGGATAGTTGTAACTCGTAAGATAGCAGTAGATACTAACAAGAAATCTAAAGTACTGACTAAGAAAGCTGAGTCTACTAAGAAACTTACAGATCAAAAGAGGCCTAAAGTTCGTAATTCTACAGCCGGTGCTGTTGCTGCTGCTGGTGTTACTAAAACAAAAATTACAAAAAAAGCACCACAGCAAAAAATCAAAATTAAAAAGATTAAAATTATCAGAGTACCAATTATCAGAATGAAAGCTCCCAAATCAAAGAGAACAAAGAAATAATCATTTTTAAAAAGATATATAAATCAATAACACATATGCATGATAGCAATAGCTGTTACTACATGTACTGTACAAAATTTTGAAAATAAGTTAAGTGGAGGAAAAGAAATATAGAGCATACTCAGTTACAATTAATACAACAAGACAATAATAGCAATAAGTAAAAACATAAGAAGTTTGGATTATAAATAATGTGCTTTTGTGTAAATAGCCATTCATAATTTGCCAATGTCGAGGAAGTACAAAAATGGTAATTTCATTGCCTTAAAAGATATACCATTATTTAGAAATATGATGAAACAATTATGTGAGAAGTGACGGAAGGTTATTGAAAGTGATAACAGATACATATTTTTTTATTAAAATGAATACATATCATTCTTTTATACTGTTAATTAAATAAATATATATATTGAAAAATTTGATGGGAACTTTTGGAAGCACCTAATATTTCTAGGATAATAGATCAATAATATTGTAAATGCTAATCTATAAATTGCGAAAGAATATTTTATATGATTATATTCGCGTTACGACATAAATATTATTTGTATTATTCTAAAGATAAAAAATCTATTTCTACTGCAAACAAAAAAAAAAAAAAAAAAGAAAAAGAAAGAAAAGAAAGAAAAAACGAAAAGTTCAAGTAAATATATTTTATATACAGGAAAGCGTCGAGAACTGTGCTCATGTAAGGTAATCAATCGTGTTACAGGATCATTTGACGAACATTATTTAAAACCGTAATCCTGATCTTCTAACCGCAAGTCTAGAGTCTATACCAAGACATAGACATTAGATTGGCAAAAGTATAGATCGAATTATTACGTGCGTTGTACGTGGACGGTAGTCGTGAAAAAAAAAATCTATAGACAAAATAACTATAATTATCGCAATTACGTTTAACAAATTCAAAGGGGGGAAAAGAAAAGGAAAAAAAAAAAAGATAAAGAGAACGTAGTCAAACGCATATATGTAGAACAAGGAATATCTCGAGTGCAAGACATTCTGGTTAAATCTGATTTTCTCTATATATGGTTGAACAGAAAGTTTTCTACCCGCAAATGTTCTGTTTGTGGGTAAAGAAGAAGAAGAAGAAGAAAAGAAGAAGGGATGATTATGGGGAAAGGGAAATAATGGACGCAACACATACCACCTGCATTCCTGACACGACCAAGGTGCCTCTCGGTTGCGTCCATTTTTATCTTTCCTGCATACCGTTTCTCTTCAACCGAAAAATTCGTTTCAACGCATACATACATATACATGTACATATTTGAAAACTTACTCAACTATATTGATCGTAGATACAAAAAAAAAACGATATTATATATATATACACACACACATATTTACAGATACATACACATATATATAAATAGGACAGAGACATATAGAAAATTCCATGTTTCAACGTAAATAAATAATTCAATGACTTTAAACTGATCACCGCTGCGACGTAACAGTGAATTCATTGAGCGACGAAATATAAGAAAGTTCGAGCTCATTGAAAATACAAAACGGATAGGCAGGTACGCGTGCCACTCCTAGTAGAACGTACTACAACGATATTGCATCGATAAGACGACCGGTTTATTCAAACGATGAGTTTGATTATCATTATTGTAGTCCGTGAACTTCGACACTTTAAAGAATAAAAGAAAGGAAAAAAAAATTTCTCAATAAAAATATATGTATAATAAATCAAGCGTATATATGGTGTAACATACGTGTACGTCCTACATTGATAAGGACGTGCACTTTATTATTTGAATTTCTTAATGAAAGTTCTATAGACATTTTTGCAAAATTTTACGATTATTTTTAAAATTGCTTATGATGAACGTTAAAGAGATAAATAAAAAGAATCAGTATCAAAACAAACATCATATCGTCATCTTTCTATTCGTAGAGCGTATCGTATCTGTTTATCCTTCGAAGACGGTTATATATGTATTTTTTTTTTTTTTTTTTTTTTTTTTTTTTTTTTTTTTTTTTGAGAGAGAAAGAGAGAAAGAGAGAAAGAAAAGAAAACGGCAGGTTTGTGAACATAGGTGAAAAAGGAACGCTTTTGTCGAGAGAAGGAGAACGAAGCCGGTTCGTGTCGTTGCTCACTCGGGAAGCTGTTTCTCGCGTGGACACGTAAAGGAAGGAGCACGCTACACTTCCTCCCTCTTCGTATATATATATTACTCTCTCTCTCTCTTTCTCTCTCTCCCTCTCTCTTTCTCTCTCTCTCTCTCTCTCATTAGTACCAGCATTCTCCCACTCTCTCAGTCGATCCATCTCTCGCATTAGTCTTCTCAATCCTCCCCACTTATCGTCCCGCGAGCGCCCCCACCAATCGGGAGCTAGAAGCACCTGTTGCATACCTACCTGTTTTACTTGCTTCGTAGCTCGCTTCAGTCAGTACGACGCGAGTCGTCCTACGAGACGGGTGATGTCATTAACGTGTCGTATCAACGTCGTTCCTTTTTTTTGAATAGAGAGAAAAATATATATATACATATATATACATATACACACATAGCAGTTGAGGAAAGAAATAGAGAATATATATATAAAAAAGATAGGAAAAAAGAAAGAGAACGATAGTTATTATGTCTTCTCGCGTGGTAATCGGTTCTTAATAATCTTTCTTAAAGCCAGTATAAAAAAAGTATTATTAATCGAATATAAGTAGAGAAACTTTTATTACGAAAGAAAGAACAAAATAAAAGAAAAAGAAAGAAAAAATTAGTGAATATAATCGAGAAGAGTAGATAGAAAAACATATCGTGTGAATTTATCTTAACGCAAGTTGGCAGTAAGTCGATTGGTGGTTGTTGTTGTTGTTGTTGTGTTGGATATGTACGCGGGAAAAAACTGAATCGCGTACTTTCGCGAGATAGAAGACGAAGAAGAAGAAGGAGGAAAAAGAGGAGGAGAAGGAGGAGGAAGAAAGAGAAAGATAGAGAAGAGGCCATGGAGGACATTGCGTCGCAGGATACTAATGCCTCCTCCTGTTTTGGTACAGGAAGCGTGGCTGGTGCCGTGATTGGGACATTTTTAACGACGATCCTTCTGTCGGCCGTTGCTGCGTTACTTTACAAACAATGGCGCAGGCACAAGGGTAAGTTTTTAATCTTTCGCTTAATTTATTTTTTTTTTGGTTTTTATATGAATTCGCTCATCTTGTTTTCGTGGAGTTTTGTTACGTTTTGTTCTTTTCTTTTTTATTTTATTTTTATTTCTCATTTTACGTTGACGATTAATAGTCCGTCTTTAAAACTAAAGATAAATGTGTTATTGCGTGTTAATGAAGAGTAATGCAAAATACCAATAGCGCGCGATAGGACGAAATGAAAGGCATGTCATCAAAGGCGCGAAAGTTGTGTTCGTTTAAAAACGGTACTTCGAACCGATAGGACATATATACATACATATATACCGGTTCGAATACGATAAATGTTGAAATTCCCGTTGGCGTATCTTTTCTTCTTAGAAAATCTTTATAATGAGAAACGCTTTGGTAAATAATATAAATACGTTTACTTATGTACGTGCATATTAAACATAAAAGGCAATACAAAAAAAAATATCGATATATGTAGAAGTACGCATACGCGCGTATATATGTGTGTATATTATTCGAAGGTTAATCCTCCATAACCTAACCTTCGTTCGTGTCTAAGAAAACAATACGTCTAATGTCAAATTTATAACATCATATTTATATGTTAGTATAATTATATACTATATCTGATAATATATAATCTATACTTAATACAAACGTTAATTTTTGATATATAAATTCATGATGATATTCATATAATAAAAAAAAATTATATATGATAAAATTAAGAAAAATATAGATGCATATATGGAGTGTATTACTTCAATGGTGTATGATATTATAGAGGATTAAATCGACATATATGTATATTCTGTATATGATGATTTTATTGGCGATTAGAAAAACGACAGATGAAAGAAAGTGATAAAGATTATTTTCTTTCTTGTTTAATAAATGTATAGTACTAACGATAAATATAGCTGTGTCAGTAAGTAAAAGAAAGTACGAGTTAGCAGTCGGATAAACTCGTTGCAAGTTTGCGATAATAGGTCATATTGCGGTTAGAACGAGTAATTGATACAGGATCCGCACTCTTGTTGGTCAGGGACGCAATTAGAACCGTTATAGTGATCATTCCCCTTCGATAAATCGTTAATTTATGTATGTTTTTTTCTCTTGTAGAAATTTTCTATTTCTTTTTTTTTTTTTAAACCTTTTCTTCTTCTTCTTTTTTTTTTCGTTTTTTTATAATTCGTAAGACAATATAATTTCAGCTTTTTTTTTTTTTATATTCGTTAATTAAACATATTTTTTCCATAATAAAATGTGTTCTTAGAAATACGATTAACATTATGATTTGGATTAGAATTGTATTCATAAGATTTCTAATCATACGAATTAGATACTATATTTCCGTATTTAAGCTTGAAAAAAACAAAGATCTATAGATAGATTTGAAGGTTAGTTTTATATTTTTGTTCGAAGGCATTTCCGAGGTACAGAATACGTATATATATATATATATATATATACATATACGTATATACCTTATGTATATACATACACGATGTAACACCTTTATGATATATATATATATATATATATATATATATATCATATACCAAATATATATATATATTACATATTATGTAATACAGTATGGGTAGTCTCGATTAAATCGTTCTATTCTCATTGATATCGTTTTTCCGATCTAATTTCTTAACCTCTATTCGACAATCCATATGTATTATATATATACATATATATATATATGTACATATATATATATACATATATATATATATATATATGTACATATATATATATGTACATACATATAAATAATAATGACAAATTCAAAACAATTTATTATTCAAAACTCGAAGGATCGATTATACTTGTATGTATAATCAATGGACATCGGAAAAGAGACATTAGATTAACAATGGACGTCACCTGTACGGATGGTACGAAAGCGATTAAATGATACATAGAAACGGTAGGTTGTTAAAAAATGCACATATTTACAGCTTCGTAATAACATCACGAAAGTTATTCAATAACATTCGATCTAGACATTCCAAACATTTTCTACTTAAGAATGTTAAACTTCTATATCATATAAATAATGATAAAATGATACTCTTCGGAGATATTCGATAATTTCGTTCTAATCCAATCTAATAACATCGAGGTAATTATTATTTCTTTATTTATAAAAAATAAAATTATAATATTCATACGTAAGATGATTCAATTCGAATAGAATCGAATAAAATATAAAAGCAAAAGGAAAAGGGAAAGGAAAAGAGAAAATTAAAAAATGTAGAATAAAATTATAGGTTAGGAATAGAAAGAAAAGACGAAGAAGAAAAAAAAAAGAAATAAATATTCTCAATAATTTAATTGGATCAATCGATATTATTAGCACGTGCCTACGACGAAATTTTGTTTCTCTTCTTCTTCTTCTTCTTCTTCTTCTTCTTCTTTTCACGCTTATTTTGAAGGAGGTATATAGGAAGAAAGAGCAAAGGTGCTACGGTAGATTGCACACGGCGATTGTTTCGTTATTACGTCGCCACTCTTCTTCTTCTTCTTCTTCTTCTTCTTCTTCTTCTTCTTCTTCTTCTTCTTCTTCTTCTTCGTCGTCTTCTTCTTCTTCTTCTTCTTCTTCTTCTTCTTCTTCTTCGTCTTCTTCTTCTTCTTTTTCTTCTTCTTCACGGCGCGCGCGCTCTTTCGTTCAAAAGGCCGCGACCTTCGACTTCGTACGTTTGTATGTAGATGTGTCTGTACATATATGTATATATATATATTTTGCGAATATCCCCCTCGACACAAATCTTTACGACTGCGAAAAGAAGAAATATAAGAGAAGAGTAAAAAAGTGTGGAAAGAAGTGGTGAGGAGAGGAGGAAAGATGAGGATAAAAAGAGAGGAGAGAAAGAAGAAGAAGAAGAAGAAGAGGAGGAGGAGGAGAAGGGGAGAATGAGGAAAAGGAGGAGGAGGAGGATTGGTGCGAGACAAAAAAAAATATGTCTGTGAATTTTACTGTCGAGTTTCGTGATTCGTTGCAAGGGCGATGAGAATTCTTCGGCTCGATGCAACTTCAACTATGCTTGCGTGTACCTGACGTTTTAATCTTCGTTATAACGACGTCGTCTGCTTGGCTGCTTGCTTGCTCGCTTGCTTGCTTGCTTGCCTACCTACTCATTCGTTCTTGGATTTTGTGTGCGTGTGCGTGCGTGCGTGCGTGCGTGCGTGCGTGCGCGTGTGTGTGTGTATATATATATGTATGTGTATGTGTAAATAGAGAAAGAGAGAGAAAGAGAAAGAGGGAGAATAAAAAAGGAAAATGCGAGTACTCGAGTACATTTATATAATTTATGATATATGATATATTATGTGCATATCTATATGTATATAAATATCATTTATATATTTTCGTAAGATATATATATATATATATATATATATATATATACGCATATATTATAAATAGTAATATAATATAATGTAATGTGTCACTGATTTATTCTATAGACAGATATACATATCACTCATTGATCTATACCGATCTCAATTAAATGATCTCAATTACATGTTAGAATGTTATTATAAAAAAAAATATATATATATATATGTATATATTAATTATAATGTAATAAAAATTATGTATTTGTTGTTATATAAATATAAAATTTATTGAATAATTTATATTTAAATTTCAAAAGAGAAAAAAAATATAAAAAATTTATCTCTCTCTCTCTCTCTCTCTTTTTTTTTACCTGTAAGACAGACGCATTGTGTACCAAGATAAATGCTGTTCTTCATGCATGCAAATTCCTGGAACAGTAGAATATACATTACACAATTAACAAGACGAAGAGAAGAACGTTAGAACTATGAGAAATATTTGAAATCATTATTAGCGTTATATGTCTGCAGGTACATTCTTTCTTCTTTTTTTTTTCTTCTTTCGCCATTTTTTTTTTCCATTGCATGATTTAAAGAAGAAAAATTATGATATTTGAAACGTAATGAAAAATTTAGTTAAAAATTATAGAGAGTAAATTTCCGGTAACCTCGTTCGTCGAGTAGTAGTTTCACGTTAACCTTTCTCGTGTAAATCAGTAGCTAATATCGAAAAAAAATATCGAAGGACGGGCCCCCATAATAAGACGAGGCAGATGATCCTAAGTAAGCTCTTCTCACTTCCGCGTTTCTCTTTCGACACATAAATATCTATACGATGGACGGTCGAATTCATCTCTTTGAAAAGTTATACTCTTTCTTTCTTTCTTTTTCTTTTTTTCTTTTCCTTTTTTCCTTTTCCCTCTTTCTTATTTTCCTTGCTTTTCTCTTTTGTCATTGTCGAGTTTTATAAAATACATCTTTGCAAATGACTTCGAATCTCTCTCTCTCTCTCTCTCTCTTTTTTCTCTCTCTCTCTCTCTCTCTCTCTCTTTCTTTCTTTCTTTTGAACGAAAGAACGTTCCCTTAAAAGCGTGTCGCAACGCACGAACAAACGTGCTGTCTAAATCACTTTCACTTTTTAGATTTGAAGCACACGCGTGTCTATGCAATTTTTATGCGAATTTTATAGAACTAACAATAAGATGAGACATCGACGTAATTACGCGGAAAAAATTGGGGAAAAATTTTTGACTAGAGAAAGTAAAAATTTATATTTCCTATCCCGAAGAAGTCGATCGATAGATCAATAGATCAATTTATTTGGATCGACGGAGAAAAATGTCGCGAGGAAACATTTTGAAATTTTTCCCAAAGACAAAATAATTAATTCGTTGATTTTTTTTAAATCGAAAGAACGATAGATCGATAGATCATAGGACGTATGAAAGAGAATCGATATAATTATTAATTAATAAAATCATCAAATTATTCAGAATAAATATATATATTTAAATATTGTACGATTATCTAATTCATGGAATCAGTAATTTAGAAATCAGTTATCATTAACTTAAAAGGGAAATTATTTTAAGTACAGGGAAAGAGGCAAGGCAAAATTAAATTTTAATCAAATGTCATTTCTA